TTTTTTCAAAATTATGAAATTTTGGTATTATTGGATTTGGCAAATAATTTCACAAATTTCTAACAAAAAAACCCGTCAAATTGGACCACTGGACGCCGAGATACAGCGCTTTGAAGTTTTGGAAAGACGCAGACAGTTAGAGAGTCTCGTTGTCTGCATCTCTCCAGTTGTCTCGGCTGGGAAAAGAGCTGAAAACTTGGTTCTTTTTGGAAAGGATAGCTCCTTGAAAATCCTATATTTCAGTCCAAAAATCAGTTTTATAGGACCATTATGAGTCGAGATCAGGCTTGGTCGGAGTCGGATAATCGGATATCCGATCATCTGTCTTTTGGGCCAAATTTTACAAAAAACTTGTTAACTAAAAAAATGAAGTTCTAGTTTTTTTGATATAGTCTGAAATTTTCAGACAAATCTGAAAAGTTTGAGTATGAAAATAGGCCCGGCTCATTTGAGCCGTCATTGAGCCGTTTATAGGCCACCACCCTTTCAAACTTAGGTCACTTCCATGTGGCATGCCTCCTCAGGACCAAATTTCACAAAAAAACTGTAAACTAGTAAAATAAAACTTTAGTTCTGTTTGGTAATCCCTCAAAATTTCATATTAATAGAAAAGGATAACGTGCTTTTGTAAAGCTAGAAGTTTCAACTGAAGTTTTTTTCTAAAATCCGTGCGTCTGTATATCCAGATGTCCTTCAGAGCTCCACAAAAGTCAGCTCCATCAACATTTTCCTCGGCTCCATCCGCTTTTAACTCAAATTCACGTACATTCAACGTGTATGGTCAAGATGCGGAAGCATTCGGATCGGCGATCGGACAATCAATCGGACAAAGGATTCAACAGGTTTGTTTGTTAGTCCCGGGAAATTTGAAACTTTTGCGTGTATATTTATTGGATCATATAAATTGGGTGGCAATCGAGATTGACACTTGTGCAAACAGTATCGGTGCCGGTTTTTATATCTATTCGATTTGAATATGCGGAGAGCAATGAGCAAAAAACTGTTGCCTTTTGCATTGATCCAATCGAAAGAGTAACCAGAAATTGATATTAGTTGAAACAGGAATTACTAAACAAAACTAGAGCTTCATTTTAGTAGTTGGCAACTTTTCTGTAAAATTTGATCCTGAGCAGATATACCACATGGAAGTGTCCTACCTGCTGTGGTGACTGCGGCGGGGCCAAGAGGTGGTTGCAGTGCTATTTGGCATATCTCCGTGGAGAGCGTTTTTACAAAGAATAGAGCTTCACTTTTGTAGTTGACCACTTTTTAGTAAAATTTGGTCCTGAGCAGATACGCCACGTGGAAGGGGCTCTCCTGCTCGGCTGCGACGCCGACGCCTATTGGTGCCCGCACATCCACGTGGCATAGCTCCTCGGGATGGAATTATAAAAAAAAGTGGCCAACTGTCGAAATAAAGCTCTAATTGTGTTTCATATTCTGTGAAACTTTCAGAAAAAAAACAAACAATTTCTAGCTAGGTTTTCAGTCTCTCCAAAGGGAGCCAACCAGGGTGGTGGCGGAATCACACCATAGTGGCGGCGCATAGGGGCACTTCCATGTGGCATACAGTGCGTGTAATAAGGATAGGACCCCTTTGATTTTGACCTTTCAGAAAAAAGTAAGAGAGATATCAAAGTTCTGTAAATGCCATTCGATTCAAAATTAAAAAAACCCCAGAAGCCAAATTTTCATAACTCTAGCACTTTCCGTACCGGTCCACCGTCCAAAAGTCATTTATTAGGCCGTGTAATAAGGATAGGACCACCTAGCATTTTTAAAGCGATACCCATTTTTTCGACTATTTTTTTTTGTATCACATTTATTTGTGCTGGTTTTATTGTTTTTCATAGTTTTATTTCTCAATCCACCTTATTTATCAAAAGTTCGGTCATTTTTTTTTGGATAAAGAAGAACAAGAAAATTTTTGTGAGACGGACAACATGAGTCTGAAGCTTTGGCACGGTTCCAGCTACAGTACTTTGGTTCGTGGTAAAAGTAAGATGCTCAAGATTGATGTGCAAGTACCATACATCTGAAAATAGAATGTTGATCCTAAAAGTCGAGAGCCGAATCAGTCAGTCGATCTCATTATTACCATGGGCCGCGCTCCTCTTCTCACCCACGCTCAGCAAGCTCAATTGGATGTTGCTCTCCAACTGGGATGTTCGCTTCATGCCATCGCTCGTCTGGTCAAGAAAAGCCGCTTTGCCATTCGCCGGTACATCAACAATCCAATGGAATACGGTAAGAAGGTCCCCTTTTACCACGAACCAAAGTACTGTAGCTGGAACCGTGCCAAAGCTTCAGACTCATGTTGTCCGTCTCACAAAAATTTTCTTGTTCTTCTTTATCCAAAAAAAAAATGACCGAACTTTTGATAAATAAGGTGGATTGAGAAATAAAACTATGAAAAACAATAAAACCAGCACAAATAAATGTGATACAAAAAGAAAAATAGTCGAAAAAATGGGTATCGCTTCAAAAATGCTAGGTGGTCCTATCCTTATTACACGGCCTAATAAATGACTTTTGGACGGTGGACCGGTACGGAAAGTGCTAGAGTTATGAAAATTTGGCTTCCGGGGTTATTTTTTATTTTGAATCGAATGGCATTTACAGAACTTTGATATCTCTCTTACTTTTTTCTGAAAGGTCAAAATCAAAGGGGTCCTATCCTTATTACACGCGCTGTATTTTCTCAGGTCTGAATTTTACCAAAAACTTATTAACAAGAAAAAAAGCTCATTTCTGTTTAGTAACCCCTGAAATTCTTATATTGATAGAGCCAGGATAAAGGACTTCTGTATTCCTGGCAGATTTAATTTAAAAAATATTCAAACTTTTCCAGGTATTGGGAAACAAGCAAGACACCAGCCCAACCTATGACGTTCAATTTACTCCTCCATCATCACCATCTTCTTCCCCAGATGCCACGTCATACACCTCCATGACCCCCTCAACATCTTCCTATGGATCATCGTCAACTTATCAATCCACTTACCCAACATCTTCTGCCACATGGCCATCTACCCATCCCCCAGAAGATCTTCCAACAGTTCAGCAAGCCTATCAGGCACAACAGGCATCATATGGATCCACTCCATCAATTCCACAGATTCCACAAAGTCTAACAGGTAATTCAAATGGATTCGGCGGTCTACCCGGATTATTACCCCCACCTCAGAACTCGGATTGTCCGTGGTGCTCTCAAAATGGAGGATACAGAGGAAAACGGATACCAAGTGAAGAGAAGGAACAGAAGAAGGAGGAGAAAATTTGAGGAACCTATATATTTAATTTAATAATAAATTATGACTCTTTGGATTCTGAAATCTGCACGTAGCATACTAAAATGGCTTCTCACACAACCAAAAATGCCCTCAGATCGTTCTCGAGGAAGCCATAAGTATTCAAAAAAGATCTCAAGAGGAAGTAACCAAGAAAAAAATTTAGAAGTTTTAGTGATTTATTTTCTCTCTTTCTCTCCCTCCAAACTTCTTCGATTTTCTTATTTTTTTTTCTAATTCCATCAGTGCATTTTCTTTATTTTTTTTTCTTCCGGAAGCCTGATAAGTGTGTGCTTCTTGGAAATCTCTCTCCTTTTTCGACTCTTAGTTTTTCCCGGATAATCCGATTTAGAGATAAAACGTTTAATCCCAACCGACAGCAGTCACCAAGAAAATGTAGTGGCTGCTGGAAATATATGCGTTTGAAGACATCCTGAAAGATCTTCGTCTGAAAAAAAGCTGCAAAAAAGTTTTGAAAATTGTAGAGCTACGTTTTTTACCACTATTCAAATGAAAATCCTTTCCACTTGGCCGACCTAATCGTCAGCTTTGCAGCAATTTATCTCGATTCCTGGGAAATATATCAAAAAGTGGTCAACAGACAAAATTTTCATCATAAAATTTTACACATTTTGTTAGTCAAACATTTTTTGACACCTGTCACAGAAATCGAGATGAAACGGGTTAAAGTTGACGGGCCTCTAATTTGAAAGAGAGATAGTTGCAAACGCGCTCCATTGAATTTTTTGTTAAAAAATTTAGTTCTGAAAAGAGTTAAATTCTTTGTTTGAGAATTGCAATTAAAAAAATCTAAAACTTAAAAAGAATAGGTTTGAAAAGTGACAAAATTTTTTAATGAGCCAGAAATGTTGTTTTTGAAAACCAAACCTGAAAATTTAAAATTCAAAATGTGTCAATTACTTAGACAGTTTCGAAATTTCATAACATTAGCAAAAGACAAATGAAGTCTAAAAAAGGGAAATGGCAGAAAACTGAATTTGCGTCATTAATGTTTCTAGCTACAGTAGCTTTTGAAACATGCTTCAAAGGTAGCACACCAAGAGGCGGTTAATAGTGTGCTCTAACTTTAATGACGCATATCTCAAAAGCTACTGTAGATAGAAATGTTTTTCAGCTAAGAAAATAGTGCTGATATTATGATGAATAATTTATCAGTTGACAAGTTTTTGATATCTTTCACAAGAACCGAGATAAATTGGCTCGAAGTTTCCTTTATTAATATACCTAAAATAAAATGAGACGAAAGAATAGAAATCTCTGTGCTCTTGAGAGAGAATGGCGGCTGTTCTATGTTTCCAATGGACAGATGGTTTTGGAAAAAGAATTTCTCTCCACTTTTCTTTTTTTTTTTTTTGAAAAATTATATGGAAGAATTTTTATGGGTCATAATGGTTTTGAAAATGGAGATGAGAATGGGTTTTTTGTGGTTGAACTGGCAAATTCATTGTCTTCAAAACGTTTTATGTTTTTCGAATTTTCTGAAATTTTCATAATTTTCTTTAAAAATTCGTCTACAAAACCCGTTGGTAACCCATAAAAGTTCGGTAAATTATCATTGGAGCGCACTTGCTTAATGACGTAAATTCAGTTTTCTGCCATTGCGTTTTCAGACGTCATTTGTCTTTTGCTAATGTTATGAAATTTCGAAAATGTCAAAATAAATGACACATTTCGAAACCTAAACGTTGAGTTTTTCTTATCAAAAACAACATTTTTGCTCATTGTAAAAACAAAAATTTGTCACTTTTCAAACCTATTCTTTTTAAGTTTTAGATTTTTAAACGGAAATTCTCAAAAAGAGAATTTAACCCTTTTCTCACTGGAGCGCGTTTGCAGCTATCTCTCTTTTAAAGTAGAGGCCCGTCAACGTTAACCCGTTTCATCTCGATTTCTGTAAGAGGTGTCAAAAAACGGTTAACTAACAAAATGTGTAAAATTTTATGATGAGCAATTTGCCAGTTGGGCACTTTTTGATATCTTTTACATGAGCCAAGATAAATGGCGAAACTAACAATTGGGATGTTTCTAAAACTTATCGGTCCATAACTCAAGAACAAGTTGACCAATTTGGATGAGGTTTAAAAGAATCGAAAAAATATATTTGTGGCCTAACTTAACTTTGCTAGAAAGTTAACATTGCCAGAAATTGATTTTTGACGCATAAGGTGGGGCTCGCTTATGAGCTGAAATGACACCGCGTAGTGGAGCCGGTATCTAAACTTTGAACCAATTTATCTGGATTCCTGTAAAAGATATAAAAAAGTGATCAACTGAAAAAATCGTTTTGATATGCTAATAAATATTTTGTTAGTTGACTACTTTTCGATATCTTTCACAGGAACTGAGATAAATTGCCGCAAAGGAAGTGGTTAGATCGACCAATCGCCTGTCTGCGACCGCTTTTAGCTTTAAGGCAGTTTATCCCGGTTCCAGTAAAATGTATCAAAAATGTATCAATAGACAAAATATGTAAAATTTTATGATAAAAAATTTATCCGTTGAGCACTTTTTGATATCTTTCCCAGGAATTGGCTCAAAGGACCGAGGTCCCTTGGAGGGCAAAGTTCGACTTTCATATTTTTTGTGTCAAAGTTTTGAAAGTGACCAAAAGAGGAATAACAATGAGACCTCCATACACACAAATACGTCTTCTTCTTGTCCCCATTTTTCGCGTTCAACGTCATCATGTCTCTTCTTTTTCTACTTTCCAACACAACCACTCTTCACGCCTTCTTCTTCGTTTTTCTTTTCTCTCCTCCCTTATCCTTTTTTTTCTTCTTTTCATGTCCCGTTTACTCTCTTTTCTGTAGTATATATTTCTCTCTAATTCTCTCTATCTCTCTTTCCAGAGAAAATTCTCTCAGCTTCTCTGAACTCTCTCTAACTCTTGTACTATTTCTTTTTTTCGGTTTTTTGCCTCGTGGATATCTATATTTTTTGGGGGATCATTTCAGGAGAGGAGAGGGGAAATGCTCTTTTTTATTTTCGGGTCAATATATATTTTTTGTTTTTTGAGAATTGCTAATTTTTGTCAAAATTTTTTAATTAAATTATCGAATTTTCCAGAACCATGCTTTTCAAAAACGTCGGTTTTTTCGCAAATTTTTAAAGCGTTTTTCAGATTTTTTTTCAAAAAATCACCATAACCAGTTAACCTTCTACCTGTCTCCTCACCCCGTATCTATTATTTCTCGAACCCATCTGTCAGAAAAGACAAAAAAAACCAGATTTGGAGAAAAAAGAGATGCAGAGAAGAGGGCCACTGACTGATCAACATTGATTTTCAATCTCTTTTTCTCTCTCTCTCTCTCTCTCTCTCTCTTTATTTTCGAAAGGGTTGTTCCTTCGTCTCTCTCCATCATCATCATCTTCAACTTTGATTTTCGACACACTTTTTTCTCTTATTTTTGATTTTCCCTTTTATCAAAATCCCAATAAGCTATTTTTCAAATGTTAAGTTTGGAAACTTCAAAAATCTCAAAAGACTATCATAGAAAAGGATTCTGGGTTCCATTTTTGGAATTTCTGTTCCTTCCAATTTCTACTTCCGGACAGTTCTGATTTTGGACAGTTTTCAATTTGGAACCATTTGGAGTTAGAAACATCTCATTCTGCTACAGTTTCATTCTAGAAAATCTCCGTCGTACCACTGATATCTTTACTATTAACAATCACCAAATTCTGTGTGTGTGTCCGGTGTTCCCGGTTCTGAGACCGTAGCGAACTCACCACTGGACCAAAATTTCCCAAATTTTCACAGATAATACGGAATAGCAGCGAAATGATGCCCGTCTATTTTAAATTTTCGATATTCTGTTTTTGACGTCTTCTGGATATGATCTTCTACTTCTACAGTGCAAATATTTAGAAATTATTTTCACGCCATTCCCGCCCATCCCCCTATTTTTTTCCTATCCACGTTATATCAAACAAAAAGATGATTTTGTGCGAAGAGATATTCTGTCTGGGTTCTGAAGATTTGAAAGTATCTAAAAATTATGATAAGAAATCAGAGAAAAATACGAGCTCTCTCAAAGATCAATACTAACGCGTTCAATGTAGTCTTTGAACTTCTTAGGCTTTAAGCTTTAAGAAATTAAAATCTTTCGAATTTCGAAGGTTTTGAATTCCCAAATTTTCCAAATTTTTAAATTCTGAAACTATAGAAACCTGGATTCTTAGAACTATAAATTTCCAAATTCCAAAAGTGAATTCAGAAATTCCTGAATGCAGAAATGCAGCAATTCGCAAAAATCGGAAACTCTGAAAATCAGAAAGGCAGAATCTCAAAAAAAAATCAGAAACCCAGAAATTCAGAAATTAAGAGTCTCAAAAAACTAAAAATTCTGAGATTAAATTCTTGAATTTCAGAAAGTCCTAATTTGGTAATTCGGAAATTCGAAAAACCAAAAATCAAAACTTCAGAATCTTTAAAAAAATCAGAATTTCAGCATTTCAGCATTTCAGAAACTCAGAAATTAGGAAATTCAAAAAATCAAAATTTCTGAATCATGAATCCCTGAATTTTCAAATTTGTGAACTGCTTAATTTCTGAACCTCTGAACTTTTTTTGAAAAATTTAAAAACTTCCTAACTCCTAAGTTTCTCTGAAATTTTGAGTTTTTGAACTTTTTCAATTCTGAACTCATGAAATTCGATTTTTAGATTTTTTTTTTCGAAATTTTATTCTCAAAATTTTTAGTTGCTGTTTTGAAGTGAAACAATTTTCTGGATTTCAAATTTTAAGAGTTAAAAAATTTCCGATCTTAATTATGAATGGCTTTATACGCTATATTCCCGAATTTGCCAAAAATTTGCAAAATTGGTTTTGGGGTTTCAGAAGTTCCAGATTTGTAGAATTTCTGAATTTCAGAATTTTCGAACTTCTGAATTTGCGAATTTGAGAGTTGCAGAAGTTTTGTTAGACTTATTTCCTTCATCACAATGTCTAAGCTTATATGCATTAAAAACACTTTTCATTAACTGACTTTTCGAATTCTCAAAAATTCAAATCTCCTCATATCCGAGATGTTAAATTTTGAAACTACCGAGATCCTGAGTTTCCAAAAAATCATTTTCTTAAGCTCAAAATTTCCTAATTTTCGAATTTGTGAGCATAAGCCCTAATTTGTGAGCATAGGCCCCTAAAATAGCCCCTGTAAAAGTGACGGACTCTCTTTATTAGATTACGGGTATTGTGAGCGGGGACAGGAGGTTTAGCCCCGAAGGGGCGTAAACCGACTGGTATTTAAAAGTCGAAATTTGCTAGTCTAATGTTTCAACCCTTAAAAACTGAGATTTTCTTTTTCACAGCCTAATTAGTTAACTTGAAATTGTCGAATTTTTCTGAAAATTTCAGAGAGTACTAAACAAAACTCGAGCTTTATTATTCCAGTTGACAACTTTTTTCTAAGATTTATCTCAAAATAGATATGCCACGTGGAAGCACGCCTACTTGTGGATCGGGGTGGCGGCGCATAGCATAGGAGCACTTCCACGTGGCATATCTCCTCAGGTCTAAATTTTACAAAAAAGTTGTCAATTACAAAAATGAAGCTCTAATTGTGTTTTGTATAATCTGAAATTTTCAGAAAAATTGATAAAGTTTGAAATGTTTTTTCAAGCCTTCAAAGTTTATCAGCGCTTAGCTCAACCGGTAGCGTTAGAATTAAATCCTAAACTCCAAAGCTACAACCACTTTTTTCCCAATATTTCATTACCTTCTTTTTCTTTCCCTCTCCTTCCCTTTTTCTCTCAATTTTTCGCTTTTTTCCCTAAACTCAACAAACACAAAAAGAACAATGATACATGTTTGCCGGGCGTAGCTGCTGCTCTTTTTCTCTCATTTCTTTTCATCTCTCTCTTTCTAATTTTCATTCATTTTCGTTCCTTGCTTTTTTCCCCCATTGAGACACAAAAACTTTGAAACCTGTTCCTAGAGCTATATGTGTTTTTCATAACAGAATGTCTAGGTTTCCCAGAAGCTTCTAGAATTGGATCATTGCTTTGAGATATTGTGTCTTGTCTTAAATAGGCTTATTCAAAATTTAAAATCCTATATTTTAATCCAAAAATCAAGTTTCTAGCACCATTAGGAGCCGAGTTATAGTGATTTTAAGTCTTGAGAGAGGCATACAGTCAGACACTCTCGCTCTCTGCGTCTAGCTTCTCTGCAGTCGATAGAGCTAAAAACTTGGTTCTTTCTGGAAAGGATAGCTCATCGGAAATCCTATATTTTAGTTCAAAAGGAGTTTTCTAGGACCATTACGAGCCGAGATATAGCGCTCTAAAGTTTTGAGTGGTGTAAGGCGCAGACAAATAGACACTCTCGTTGTCTGCGTCTCAGTTTTCAACTATAAAAGACATAAATCAAAATGAGTGACATTAGATGCTGCCTTGGATACCCGTTTTAAAGAAAAGCTTATTTTATAAAGTAGATAAAAAATAACAAAACTTTTGATCTACCTCAAAAAAAGGCGCGTTTTTCAGTTTCTTTGAAAACCATAAACATTTTATTGAGCTTTCTCGTGTCCTCAATTCTTTCTCTTTCGAAAATTTGGAAACTCCCGCGTGATACCTCCCTTTTTCCAGCTTTCCACCTCTCAACACCATCTCGGTCATCTGCCGCGTGGAACCAGCTCAACACCTCCACATCATCACCTACTATTTATGTGCTAATTCGCGGGACCCTTTTTCTTCTCCTTCCTCTCTATTACAATGGTTGTACAGACCGTTATTCATGGGTATCCACCGAACACTGATAATGTAAGTACAGTAATCCCACTTCCCTACACATCAATTTGTTCTTCTTTTAGGACACACAACTGATACGGGTCCGACTGTTGCGCGGTCAGAAGATTGGAAGACGTGATCTGTTTGGCGTCTGCTCACCGTACTGTCTAGTCAGATTGGAGAATTCGAATGGCGACGTTGTTGATGAGGTTCAGGTGGAGACGAAGAGAAAGGTTAGTTTGTCTGGTGGTCTGCGTCTCTCTCACCAGTCAAAACTTCAAAATGCTATATCTCGGCTCACAGATGTCCCATAAATTTGGTTTTTGAATTAAAATTTAGGATTTTTTATGAGCTATCCTTTCCAAAAAGAACCAACTTTCTAACGCTATCGACTGCTGAGATACAGCCAGAGAGACGCAGAGAGTCAGGGTGTCTGGCTGTCTGAGTCTCTTCAAACTTTAAGAGACCATATCTCGGCTCTTAATTGCCCTAGAAAACTGATTTTTGGAATAAAATATAGGATTTTGAATTCCTTATAATCTTTTGTTGCCAACTTCAGACTCGACATCCCGTCTGGAACAGCGTCTTCACATTCCGAGTGACCCGTTCGTGCCAGTTGAAACTGTTGGTTTATGATGAGAATCGTTTGAGAAAAGACTCGTTGATTGGATTCGTGAGCAGATCGATGGATGATAATCGCATTTCTACACAAGCTCCTAATCCAGAAGAATATCCATTGGCAACGAGTTCAACGTCATCGAAGGGAAAGTGAGTTGGAAGAACTTGGTAAAGAATCCTAAATTTTGAATTTTCCAGAAGCATTGGATCACTTCTGCTCACTTTCCACTTTGTTCCATCGTCATCTGACAACTCTCCAGCCGATTCTACAAGTGATCTACAACAACAACAAACTACAAGTCACGGAATACCACAGGGATGGGAAGAACGAGAGGATGGAAACGGGCGGACCGTTTATATCAATCATGCATTGAGAACGACACAGTTCACACCGCCCGAAAGTATTCCAGAGTAAGTTATGTTCTCAGTGGAGAGACGCAGACAGCCAGACACTCTCGTTGTCTGTGTCTCTTGAGTTATTGATGCTATATCTCAGCTGCTAATAAAGCTAGAAACTTGTTTCTTTTTGGAAATGATAGTTCATCAAAAATGCTATATTTTGGTCTAAAAATCATGTCTCTGGAACCAATGAGAGCCGAGATATGCTCATCTGAAGTTTTGAATAGAAGAGACGCAGACAACGAGACACTCTGACTGTCTGCGTCTCTTCGAAACTTCAAAGAGCTATATCTCGGATCATAAATGTCTTATAAACTTGGTTTTCAAACTATAACTTAGTATTTTCGATGAGTTATTTTTCCCATAAAGAACCACGTCTCTAGCTCTATTCACAGCTGAGATATAGAGGACAGACGCAGCCAGTTAGAGTGTCTCGTTGTCTGCGTCTCTCCACCCAAAACTTCAAATGATCGTAACTCAGCTCGTAATGGTCCTGGAAACTTGGTTTTATACTGAAATATAGGATTTTGAATCCTATATAATCTCAAAAAATTTTATTATTACCAATAGAGCGCATTTTCAATTGTTTTCTTTGTATTTCCAATGTCATGACTCATTTTCCAACCATACACAATAACACAGAAGAAAAGAAATTGTCCAATTTCCGTTCCCTTAAATAAAAAAAACTTCTTTTCCACCACCCAATCATTCTTGTTCCCCAATGTTGAATGCTGCTTCTTTCAGCGGCAACACGGACGCCATCACTGAGCAATCGGTTATTGAGGAGACACGTCGTCGACGGGATAACTATGAGCATCGGAGTCAGGTCACTGATGAGCCATCCGACACGGCGGTGGTTAGCAATGAGTTGACAGCGGTTAGTTTGGGTTATTTTGCCAGACAAGTAGTTTAAGCTAAACTATCTCGGTTCCTATGAAAGATATCAAAATTTTGTCAATTGATAAAATATTGGTGATATTATGATAAACTATTTATCAGTTGACCACATTTTTATCTTTCGTATAGGAACCGAAATAATGGAGCTTTAAGCGCGCAGATAGGCTTTTAGAGCATTCACGGTAGTCGAGTGGTTTTTGGAGCAATTTTCCCAATAAAACTAGAGCTCAGTTTCTACAGTACCTCCTTTAAGCTCTAAATGACCTAGTACCTTAAGTTTTGGTAAATCAGATTTCCCCAGTTTCCTAGTATTCTCTAGACCTCATTTCCTATGCCTCAAGTTTTCACTAGCTGCTTCAAAGATCTATACAAAAACAATTTCATTAGCTTATTCTCCAACTGGTACAGAACTAATGAAGATGAGCTAGCAGACACCCCTTGTAACCGACGACTACATGACCACAGAAAATAATAATGACAATAAGGCCGAAATCATATTGGACCAGGTCACTAACAAACAAAAAATGACAATCGAATAGAATGGAGAATTGAAAATTTGGTGGTTCTTGTTGTTGTTTGTTGTTGGTTGGTTTTCCCATTTTTGAGCTCTCTGGCAAAATTTCGGATACCAGGAGGGGACAGGTAGTGCCCGGAGAAAAGCTGGAAGAAAAATAGAAATATTCATTTTTGGATTCTTTAGGAAATTGACTGAAATTCGGCTTTTAATTTTTTAATTTTTCAAAACTTTTTGAGTTTATATTCAAGTTATTAAAAGTAATTCGAGTTTTCGGATTTTGGAGTTTCAGAAAAATTAGGATATTTTAAATTTTCCGAATTTTTGATTTTTTTTTGAATTTTTGAATTTTTGAATTTTCTGAAATTTGAGAATTTTAGACTTTTCCGATTTTTTAATTTTCGGATTTTCGGAATTTTAGAATTTGAGAATTGTTGAGTTTTGAGAATTTTGAAAATCGTTGAATTTTGAGAATTTCGATTTTTTGAATTTTTGAATTTTTACATTTTTGGAACTTCGAATTTTTCAAATTTTTTTTGAATTTTTTTCGAATTTTTAGATTTTCTGTATTTTCGAATTTTGAATTGTCAAATTTTCTAAAGTTTGGAATTTCAGATTTTTAGTTTTGTAGGAAATTTCATTTTTTAGAAGTCTCAGTTTCAGAATTTCAGAGATTTTTTAAGTTTCAGAATTTCAGAGATTTTGATTTTTAGATTTTTTTGAATTTTCGGTAGTTTTGATACTTCTAATTTTTGATTTTTTTTCTGAATTTTTAAATTCGAATTTTTGGAATTTTCTATTTTTGGAATTTTGAAATTTTTTGAATTTTTAAATTTTTAAATTTTTCGAATTTTTGCACTTTGGCTTTTCGAATTTTCGAATTTTCAAATTTTCGCATTTTTGAATTTTTGAATTTTTTGGGCTTTTGGAATTTGACATTTTTCAGATTTTCAAAAAATTTCCACAAAATTCAGATTCAATTTCATTTTTTTTTGGAGTTTTAGAGAATTTCAGAATCCTGAGGAAATTTTTAAGGCCCGATCCCGGCCCGGAAGGCCCGGTAGCAAAAATTTTGTTCTTTTGAGCCAAATTTTGAGCTCTCAATACAATTTTTTCCATTTTTTTTTGTTTTTTTTCGGATTGTTTGTCTGTTTGATCAAAAAATATCAAAAAAACTCGAAAAAAATTTTTGATCGAAAAAAATCACATAAGGGTCCCCCTTTATGTGTTTTTTGAAAGGGTCGGGCCTCCGAAATTCGGGAAAAAGCCCGGCCCGGCCCGGCCCGGTCCGACCCGTTACAAGTATGAAAAAATGAGAATTTTTTGATTCCTCCACCTGGTGTTTTAATAATTAAGTACAAACAAACATGGTATTTGTATTGTCCTTTTTTGTCAAAATTTTTTGCCTTTTTTTGCTATCAGCTGCTTCCCCTGGTATCAGTGGTAGTAGTAGTAATCATCTCACCTACTACTCTGTGTATATTTTTTTGTGTTCTGTACAAATATTTGTATGAATTCTGTCTGCGTCTCTCTGATCTTTAACTCTCTCGTAGTCAGGTTTACTCATTTTCTTCTGCTTCTTCTTCTGTTGCTCATGAACAAGAATAGGAGAATGGGGAACAGGTTTTCTGTATATTCACACGGAGCTCCTCTCTCTAACTGCCTGCGTCTCTTCAGAACCTGGTACTCTCTCGCTCGTAGGGCTTCTCACTTTTAGGTTACACGTGCCACGTCACACAAAAGATTGTGTGATCTGTTTCGAAAAGTTTTAGGTTTTAGGTCAGCTTGGGATTACTGTAGAATTATGAGAGATTACTGTAATTGAGAAAATAGGAAGGATTACGGTAGTCTCGGAATTTTTGTGATTCTTCAGGATTTTTGATTTCCACATTTCAAAATCTCTGTTTTTGTTCAATTTCACTACAGTTTGGGCAAATTTCAATTTCTTTAAATTGTCGAAGTTCTCAGTTTACTGTAGAATTAGGGATTACTGTATTATCAGAAGGGGAAGGGTTACGGTAGTCTTGACTTTTTGAAAACGTTGATTTTTTCAATACGAATCTGAGGAATCTGAAAATTATCGCTTAATTGGATTTTCAAGTTTAGGTGTCAAATTTTGAATTTTAAAAATTTTGAGATTACTGTAGTTTTTAGTATTTTTTCAATGCACGCTCTCCCACAGAACATTTCCGAACTGCAAATTAATTTTTGATCTACAGAAAAAAAGTTTGGCGCGATCACAATTGCAGGTCTAAAACCATATTTTCAGAATTTTTTATCTGATTTTGTGGAGTTCCAAGATGATTCAAATAATTCTTTAAAAATTAATTAGTGGTTATAGATTCATGTATGGTCGTTTTCCGGAAGAAAAATGTCAAAAATGGTCATTTTTGAATGTTTTTTAAAGAAAAAATCTATCTCCTCTTTCAGTTTTTGACATTTCTAGGAGTTCTATAGCTCAAAAAAAACCGCAATTATTTTCTCTACATTTTCTATAGACGAATTTTTAATTCGTCTGATAAAACTTTTTTTATAATCAAAAAACAACGTAAAATGCTATTTTGTGCAATTTCATGAGGACCCAAGGATTGTAGATCAACACGAATATCAACAATCGGTCGTAATATTCAACATGTCACATTTCAAAATTATGTTCTAGAAATTTCGATCCAGCATTTTTTGATTTTTGGCATGAATCATAAGGATTGGAATTTTTTCTCATTTTTGTAGTTCAGGAACTTTCTATAATTACACTAGGAAAATCGTTCCTTTTTTCATTCTTCTTTCAAATATTTGTCGAAACGATTAAGCTACTTTCTATCTCTATCTCTCTCTCTCTCTCTCTCTCTCTCTCTCTCTCTCTCTCTCTCTCTCTCTCCAGGTGTGCTCTTTTAGAGATGCTCCAAGTAGAGTACATTACACTCACATACTCACCTATTTGAAAATGAGTACACTTTTTTGGGAGTCAATTCAAAAAGTGCTCCTTGTGCATAATAGATGCTCTCTTCCGATTGGAAATATCCGTTCTGTGTGCACTTTTTGAAAATTGCTCAGCGCTATTCAAAAGTGTTCTTCTCGCCCTGGAGAAAAGGTCAGAGTGCTTACCACCTCTTCTGAAATGGTTCTTGAATAGAGACTCTTTTTCTTTTTTTTTTCTTTTTTCTTTCTTCCTTTCCCCCCTCATCACATTTCCGTTTTTGAACGCTTTTGAACCTTGAGAATACTTTTCTTCTTCTTCTTTCCTCTACTTTTTTTTCTTCTACCTCCTGAAAATTGCTCATTTTTCGTTATCCTGAAGAGAAGGGTTCTGGTTTTATGAAGCTTCAATTTCGTTCTCTTTACACTATTTTTAGTTTTTTTTCCAAGGAAAAATGACCAATAGAATTTGAAAAAAAAAACGTTTTCTAGCTCTGCTAAACGTTTTCTAGCTCTGCTTTCCCTTCAGTTCTAATCAACTAGATTTCTACAAGAGCTATGAGAAAGTTTAACGTTTAGAGCGGCTACGGTCGTGAGCCGGCGCTTGGCGGAGCTAACCGCCAACTTCGCGGTCTGCGACCGCTTTTAACTTTGAGGCAGTTTATCTCGGTTTCTGTGAAGTGTATCAAAAAACAGTCAACTAACAAAATATTTCCCAAATTGTAATAAACATTTTGTTAGCTGAACACTTTTTGATATCTTGCATGTGAGTTGAGATAAATTGCCGCAAAGTGAGTGGTTAGGTCGCCCAAGCGCCGATCTGCGACTGCTTTTAATTTTGACCCAATTTATCTCGATTCCTGTGATAGATATCTAAAAGTGAACAACTAAAAAAATGTTTTTGATATGGTAATAAACATTTTGTTAGTTGACCACTTCTTGATATCTGTTACAAGAACCGAGATATATGGGCTCAGAGAGGGGACCCATATATGAGTTTGAAGTTAATTTTGACTTTGTCTCCTCTATTTTTTTTGGGACATAAATTTTAAAATTAGAAAGAACTACAAAATTTTCACCACATTTTCTATTTTTATGATCGTTGACTATTTCAGATCGACGACGCAATGCGAGCGAACTTTGAGCGTGGTGGTGGGCATGATGAAGAGGAAGAGGACGATTTGAGACTACCCGATGGATGGGACATGCAAGTGGCACCCAACGGTCGAACGTTCTTCATCGATCATCGAACCAAAACGACGACGTGGACAGATCCACGTACCGGAATCGCAGCACGTCTTCCAGTTCGAGGTAAAACCGACGATGAGATTGGAGCATTGCCACCCGGATGGGAGCAACGAGTACACGTGGACGGTCGAGTGTTCTTTATCGATCATAATAGAAGACGGACACAATGGGAGGATCCGAGATTCGAGAATGAGAATATTGCGGGGCCAGCGGTACCGTACTCCAGAGATTATAAGAGAAAGGTAAGGGTTGGCTTCTACAGTAATCCTAAATAGTTTTTTTTAGGTCGAATACCTTCGTTCCCGTCTGCCAAAACCCAACAGCAACAGTGGAAAGTGTGATATGGTTGTGCATCGTGACACACTTTTCGAGGACTCGTATCGTCATATCATGGATAAGGTAAGGCGCGTGGGAGTTTGAAATTTTCAAATGGTTCATCTCGATTCTGGTAAAAGGTAGCGAAAAATGGTCAACTAATAAAATGGTCTTCATAATACCATCAACATTTTGTTATGTGACAGTATTTTCCTAGCTACAGTATTTTTTGAGCTATGAGCCTTTAAAGTTGGCGCGCACTTTTCACTTGTGAGCTAACTTTAAAGGTGCATAGCTCAACGACTACTGTAGCTAATAAAAATGTGTTAACTGATAAAATATGTAAAATTTTATGACAAGTGTTTTGTCAGTTGGTCATTTTTTGATATCTTTCACATGAAATTAGAAAAATAGGATAAAAGTTTAAAATCCCTTTACTCGATGATTACCAAAAACAGTCGATTGAATTGGGGGGTTTTGAAATGCTATTTTTCAAAAAACCATTACCACTAATCCTCTTTCTCTATGTCTCTCTTTTATCGCAATAGTTTTCCAGAAGGACTACGACCTCCGCAATAAATTATGGATTGAGTTCTTTGGCGAGACGGGTCTGGATTACGGTGGTGTGACGAGAGAGTGGTTCTTTTTGCTGTCCCATCAGATATTCAACCCGTATTATGGACTCTTTGAGTACTCTGCAACGTGAGTTTTCTTTTTTTTTCAAAAATTAGTATTCTGGGTCATTTGAAGTTCTGAGTGTAGAGACGCAGACATTCAGACACTCTCGCTCTCTGCCTCAAGCTTGATCTTTCTCTGCTGTCCATAGAACTAGAAACTTGGTTCTTTTTGAAAAAGATAGTTTTTCGAAAATCCTATATTTCAGTTCAAAAACTATTTTTCATTAAGAGCCGAGATATAGCGCTTTGAAATTTGGAGTGATGAGAGACGCAGACAGTCAGACACTCTCGCTGTCTGCGTCTCGGTTTTTAGAGTTCTTTAAAAGTCTCTCCACTACCCTGTCGGCTTCTTTTGTATAATTGATAAAGTTCCAGTGACAACTACACTCTACAAATCAACCCCCATTCGGAAGCATGCAATCCCGAGCATTTATCGTATTTCCATTTCATTGGTCGTATCATTGGAATGGCGATTTATCATGGAAAACTGCTCGATGCGTTCTTCATTCGTCCGTTTTACAAGATGATGCTTGGCAAAAAGATTACGCTTTTCGATATGGAATCTGTGGATAACGCCTATTACAACTCGTTGATCTATGTCAAGGATAATGATCCAGCGGACCTAGAGCTAACGTTCTCCCTAGATGACTCAATTTTTGGAGAGACTCAAAACGTGGAATTGATACCCGGTGGAGCGAATGTTGCGGTGACGGAAGAGAACAAGGAGGAGTACATTGAAGCGGTGATTAGTTGGAGATTTGTGAATCGGATCGAGAAACAAATGAACCAAATTCTGAAAGGAGTACAAGAGGTGGTCCCATCCAACCTTCTACGTCTGTTTGATGCCAATGAGCTCGAGTTGTTGATGTGTGGACTTCAGAAAATTGATGTTAAGGATTGGAAGGCGAATACTATTTACAAGGGTGGCTACGGACCCAGCAGTCAAGTGGTACACAACTTTTGGAAGTGTATTCTCTCATTTGACAATGAGATGAGAGCTCGTGTCTTGCAATTTGTCTCTGGAACGTCTAGAGTTCCGATGAACGGATTCCGAGAGTTGTATGGATCGAATGGACTTCAAAAGTTTACGATCGAGCGTTGGGGAAGTGCCGATATGTTGCCAAGAGCGCATACATGGTAAGTAGACTCTCAATAAAGCGCAATTGCATTACGAAACAATTTAAATTTTACCTTTTTTCAGCTTCAATCGCCTCGACCTGCCGCCTTACACAACATTCAAAGAACTCAAATCAAAACTGTTAACGGCTATTGAAAACTCGGAAATCTTCTCAGGAGTTGATTAATATTTCGATTATTTCACTTTTTTTTCTCTAATTCTCTCGATTTTCCATAATGTCTCTCTTACTTGCCATCTATACACATTCAGTTTTTTTTCTCTATTTTTTGCCATTTCCTGGATCAAAAAAGTCAATTCTTCTGTGATTATTATGCTCTCTCTTTTGGCTCCTTGACATCTGTTTTATTTTCATTTTTGCTCTTTCTCTTTTTTTTTTCTCATCCTCGAAAAAAGTGTACAGGTTTGTCTAACTCAACACCCGAATGTTGTTTTAAAAAAATGTGAAAAGTTCGGTATTGTTCGTTAAATGCAAGCGGTGTATATCGGTGCACATGCACCGCTACGCGGAAATGCACTACAGTACGGGAGGTCGAAAAAATAAAATCGCTTCAGAATAAAATAAGATTTTTAAAGACCTAAATATTTGAAAAAAAGGTTTTTAACGAAATAAAAAAATATTGGGTCTTCATGTATGCCAATGGATACTATAAAAAAGGTAAGAAAATGGGTTTTTGACTCAAAAAAGGCCTTAAAAATGAAGATAATTATTTATAGACGGTTATGAGAGAGGGCCGAAAAATATTTTAGTCTGCGGAAAGCCTATTCCAGTGACATCGTACACCTACCTATTTCTGGTATACTCGGAGGAAACCTCAGTTATTAAACTGCTTCACGAATGCCATCAGGAAGGAAATGACTTATTTGTGTTGGTTCCAGGATGTCGAGAATTTGCAAGGCTTCAAATCCGTCCTTGGTTCATTCACAACGCCTTCTACATCTCCAACAAAGCTCTGAACAATCGATGCATTGATATTCATCGTACCGTCTTCGTTGGAGGACTTCCGAGATTTGTGACAGCCGAGAAGATTGCTCAAGTGTTTTCAGGATTCGGAAAGGTTCTACTCGTCAATATTGATATGGATGAAAACTATGGATATCCGAAGGGTGCTGCTAGAGTTGCATTCGAGCGAGATTCGTCGTTTAATAGAGCGTTGGAAAAGAAAAATATCAAGCTTGCGAGTATCGATTCGAGCAAAACTAATATCGAGATCAAGCCATACGTTTTGGAAGACGTTGGATGTGATCAGTGCGGTGGACTTTGGTTCAACCCGTTTCTCGATATTTATAAGCAGTTGAAGAATTCCGACAATTCGGTGGGCTCTTTTTTTCTAGGTTTTTCAATTTTCAAAGTGTTTTTAGAGTCTGAACACGTGGGCATCTATAAGACAATTTCTGAACCCAGAGGACAGCTCAGAACTAGATTCAGCGGGTAGCGAAGCTCGCAAGTTCCTCTCAATGACGAAATCATTCGGTTTGGATCAAGAGAAAACTGTAAATGTCCTTGGAAACGAATACACTCTTGGACCAAGTCTCTGGTATCGATTCTTGCCGCTTCCAAGCTTCGAAGGTGCATTTCATTCGGTAGATCTAATCTCATTAAAAGAAAACGCAGAAAAATCGATCTTACAAAACCAAAAAATTGAGTCATTCCTTCCCATGAAGCGAACCAATGTCTTCAGTAACAAGAGCTCATACTGTAAAGAGAGACAGTGTCGCCAGTACTATTGCCCGTCGTGCTCCAACAAACATCATTCTGGACCGGGACTACATAGTCATCTGACAGCTGGGAAGCAACATCCTCCGAGAACAGACAAAAATATGTATCGTGTCAGTCTTGGCATCTGATTTTATATAAGCCTTGTTTATTGTTACTGCCTAGTTGTTACTTTTACCATTTGTTGTTATTATGCACGTTTTTATCAACATGTTGTCTCTAAATGTCAAACATCTTCCACCTTATTAAACGTTTTGAAACTTCCTACTGTCTATTCAATAAAACGTG